TTAAACATCTTTTAATGTGATTACTAGCTGTCAATACAACCTCTTTGGTGAAATGTCTGCTCAAGTCTTTTGCCCATGTAAAAAAATTAGGTTGCTTGTTTTCTTACTGTTAAGTTTTGAGAATATTTTTATACATTCTGGATATAGTCATTTTTCAAAAATATGACTTGTAAATATTTTCTCCCAGTACTCTTATCTTTTTATTCTCTTATCAGGCTCTTTCAAAGAACAAGTTTTAAATTTTGATAAAGAACAATTATCTCAAAATAAAAAGATACTTAAAAAACACTATTTTAATTCACCAGTCCCCTCCCCCCCGGCACTTGACTGGTCATGTTTGTGTGGGTCTGTTTCTGGACTCTCTGTTCCATTCCACTGATTTAAATTTGTTTTCCTTGACCAATACCACACTATCTTGGGTATTATCATTTTAGAGTAAGACCTGAAATCAATTAGTGAAAATCCCCAACTTTATTCTACTTTGGTAAAAGTTATTTTGGCTATTCTAGTTCCTTTGACTTTCCATGTAAATTTTAGAATTAGTTTGTCTATATCTATACAAAAATCCTATTTGGATTTTTCCTAGAATTATGTGAAATCTACAGGTCAATTTGTGGAGAACCATAATCGTAATCATACTGAGTCTTCCAATACATAAACACAGTATATGTCTCCGTTTGTTTAAGTCTTCTTTGACTTTTTTTCATCAGTGTTTTGTAGTTTTCAGCACACAGACCCTGCACATGTTTTGGTTAGATTTATACCTATGTAATTCATTTTTGGGGAGCCACTGTAAAGTGTATTTTTTTCTTTTTACATTTTGGTTCTCAGGTGTTCATTGCTAATGTATAGAAGTACAATGCTTTTTGTATGCTGACCTTATATCCTGTGACCTCCTTAAACTCACTTACTAGTTCTAGGAACTAAACTTATTAGTTCTAGGAATTGTTTTGGTAAATTCCTTGAAACTTTTACATAGGCAATCATGCTGTCTGTGAATAAAAACAGTTTTGTTACTTCCATTCCAATCTGCATTTCTTTTTCTTGACTTATTAAACTGGCTAGCACTTCCAGTATGATGTCAAATAGGGGTAGTGAGAATGGATAACCCTGTCTTGTTCCTGATTTCAGGGAGAAAGCATTCAAACTTTCACCATTAACTATGATGTTAGCTATAGGTTTTTTGTAGAAGCCCTTTATAAAGTAAAGACACCTTCTAATTTTATTATAAAGGAATGTAGAATTTTGTCAAATGCTTTTTCTGTATCAGTTGACAAAATCACGTAATTTTTCTTTAGTCTGTTAATATGGTGGATTACACTGAATAATTTTAGAATATTGAACCAGTCTTTCATTCCCAGGATAAACCATACTTGGTTATGGTGTAGGGCTCTTTTTATATATTGCTGGATTTGATTTCCTAAGATTTTAGAGGATTTTTATGTCCATCTGCATGAGAGATATTGTTGTGCAGTTTTTCTTGTGATGTGTTTGTAATGCTGGCCTCATAAAATAAGTTGGGAAGTGTTCCTGCCTCTTCAATTTTCTAGAAGAAATTGTGTAGAACTGGCATTATTTCTTCTTTAAATGTTTAGTAGATTTTGCCAGTGGAACCATCTTGGACCAGAGATTACTTTTTCAGAAGGTTTTTAACTACAAATTCAATTAAAAAAAAAAAAAGACTATTTAGGTTATCAGTTACTTTTTGAGTAAGTTTTGGTAGTTTGGGGCTTTAGAAGAATGATCAATATCATCTAAATTGTCAAATTTATGTGCATAATGTTATTGATAGTATCTCTTTATTATCCTTTTTAATATTTGTGGGATCTGTGGTGATATCTTCTCTTTTATTCCTAATATTGATAATATGTGTTTTCTTTTTTTCTACGTCAGTGTGGCTTAGGAGATTATCAATTTTATTCATCTCTTCAAAGAACCAGCTTTAGGGTTCACTAATTTTCTCTAANGATTATCAATTTTATTCATCTCTTCAAAGAACCAGCTTTAGGGTTCACTAATTTTCTCTAACGTTTTACTATTTTCAATTTCATTGATTTCTGTTCTCTATTATTTCCTTCCTTCTGCTTGCTACAGCTTATGTACATTCCTTTAATATTCTAATATTAAAATGAAATTTAAACATTTAAAGTACTAAGTGTTCTCTTAGTGTCCTTCCCCTATTTCTTCTAATACGTACTATAATTTATATACTTTAAAAATCATTCTTCTAAATAGAGATGATGCCAGTATATGGGTTCAATCGTTTTCTACTTTTTGTCATCTGATAAGAGTCTACCATTTATCTCAACAAATGATCCTAGTCTGATGAGATTGGATGTGTTCAGAATGGTATGGCTATAGATGAATGATCCTATTCTGTACTTTTCTTTTACAGTCATATGAAATTTAAAAGTTTTTACTTGTTTATCATAGCATTTTTCATGAGGCTCTAGCATCTGAAATTACTTTTCTTTAGTTGTGTACCTTTCTTTCAGCTTGTGGGCTGATATTTTAACACTGAGTATTCAGAAAGCTTGCAATGCTTTCTTTAAATGGATCATTTAAGGCATTTATAATGTGCCATTAAATTTTATAATGTGTCACATGCTGTGTTAATGGTCTGTGCCTTGTATTGAAGGATTTTAAGGTTCTGAACAATGGTTCTTAATGAGAAATTTGCAAAGTTTTTCTCAGTTGTCACAAATTTTAAGGGGCACTATGGCATATCAGAGGAGGAACCGGGAATTTACAAAAATATTTTTTATAAAAAGGGGACAGGATTCTGATGAGATTGCAAACCATACAGTATTTCTCAATTGGGATTTCTTATCTGAACCAAAATGACTTAAATGATTATTTTTCAACTTAATACTAAAGATGATGGTAAC